TGCATGTAAAGTTACTGTGAAATATATATATTTTTTTTTTTTAAATATTTTTAGATGTAATAAGTTACAGAAAATGTCAGTTTTTAATTAAGGGTCCATTTTTAATAAAAGGTCAATTTTTAAGGTCATTATGTGACTTTTCATCATGCCGCGTGTTATTACCAGCACATTTTACATTTAGTACAGTAACTTCATATCATTTAATGCCATACAGTCACCAAAATGGTTTTAACATGGTCACTGTATTTTTACAGTAAAGTTCTACCAGACCTGCACATCAATGCTTTCATACAATATTTACTTAATACTGTTAACGTTTCCTCTCTCTAGCTTCCATACCAGAAATCTCGTGAACATAAAGCTATTTTAGAAGTAAAACAAAGTCTGTCTAGCGACATGCGCAAGTAAAATAAAAGTTCTCATGCACATCACTTGCTTTAATTGTTCACCCCCATCTGGACACTGAAGGAATCGCGTCTTTATAAATAAAGGCTGATGTGTGCCAATAAAACATCTTGACAAATTTTAGGTAAAATTTTAAAACGAAAGTTAAAGAGAAGTTACTTAGAGCTTAGAGTACATTTAAAAGTATAGCCTACTATAAACATCTTTTCAATCAAAATAGACTTATTGTAATGTAAATATTTTTGTTTACTGGTTTTATACCCGTTTTGTGTTCAAGTTGTGCATTTTAACAAATAATTAAATTATTAAATAATTAATAAAGGACATTTACTTACATATTTTTCTCTTGTTAATCTTACAACACATTTTATCCAAGCTTCAAATTAATTACTTAAAACTTAAATGAAACAAAGAACATACACGCCTATTACTATAACGGTAAGCAAAGCAACGCACAAAAAAAAAACACACACATAACATATTAACAACTTCATAAACAGACTGTCAGACATTGGTGCTACTGAAGCATACATCCTCTTTTACTTTAAAGTGATTAAAGTACAAATAAAAGCGCGCGCCTCTGTGAGGCACCTGCGCTCGCGAGCGCTACTGCAGTGAGAGATGCGAGAGCGTCTCACTCACCTTTAATGAACATAAAAAATAATTCCAGGCAAATTGTTGCTTGGCTGCTTGTCATCAAACACAGAGCACTGAGCAGACATACGCTCCACACAAGGAGTTGAGCTCCATCCTCAAGCCGCTGTGCAGATGAGTGAAAGTAAAGTACAGCGCGTGCATCTCGCGCGCCGGTACCTCCCCTTCACGCGCTACGGAAGATTCTTTCAGCGGTTACGCGGACTTTAAGGGGAGGTACTACAGGTAAACAGACTCGATTTTGCTGCTCCTCCTTAACTATAATTAAAACGTGACATATATAAACACAAAAACAAGTCTTTATAATAATTAGCGGATTTATCTATTTCCGTTTTTAAATATGCACATTACGCATCACCTTATTAAATATCCCAGCAAAAAAAAAAAAAAGGATTTAACCAGTCTAAACTGGTGTCCTAGCCGGTGCGCGAATGGTTTAGCTGGTTACCAAGCCTGACCAACTAAAAAGTGCTCTAAAACCAGATCACCAAATCAGCGTAGGCTGTTTTTCCAACAAATCGTGTAAATAAGCATGCATCTATTGAGCCTGTAATGATAAAATGTGCGAATCAGAAATGGTTCCTGCTGTCAGCTGGCTGATTTTATATGGGTTTTTGGACACTTCCAAGCTGACCAGCAAGGCTCCATACGCTAATTTAGACTGAATAGAGTTCTATTATAAAACATTATTTCATTAGCAAATCGTCACCTAAAAACGGCTGTAAAATCAAGCAAAAAGTCAAAATTGTTATCCAACCAAAAGCATAATTTATGCCTGTCGTACCTTAAATGAAAATTATCTTCAAAGGCAAATATTCGGTCATCGGTAGATGGTAACTGCAGGCAGCGACATCTAGTGTTAGCTTTAGGGAAAAAAATGTTTTACAAAGTAAAATAAACATCGATATACTTGAGCTACATTTAGATTTACTCCGGTCATAAACAGGTACAAACATGCATGATAGCAGCATAAATTAATGTACTCATCAGTCTTTAAAGGCAAAATAAATTCATCTTTTTAAAAAATCACTATTCCCTTTTTTAGGATGCATGTCTTCAGCCAGGCTGCACATTTGATTGAACCAATGAATCACATACACCGCTATTAATCACTGGTTTGCAAAGCCTTAACAAGCATTTTTCCAAATACATTTTTACACAAAAACAGGAGTCTGATATTCGGAGCCCGCTATTTATTGTTTAACTGGAATGCAGAGATGTTTACAAAAACAGTGCTGTAAAATGTTCCATGTGACTTTTTGTAGAAACAATGCTGGTATTCAAACAGACCCACTAGTCTTTTCATTTGAAAAATCATACAATCCTTACAAAAATGAAAACTAACCAGATGACTGATCCATATCTTAAGAAGGAATAATAAGAGAGTGGCTATTTTCAAAGCATCAACACAATATCAGGATTTTAAATATACACAATGTTTAATTAACATAAGAAAGCAGCAGTCAGTTGTACAGCACAGGAGGGTGGAAGCGTCAGGCAGATTAGTGTCTCAGAAAATTTGCAGTCCGTTCATCTCCACGGGCATTTAAACAAACTAATTTGGGCCTACACGCACATACCTCCAAATAAAGACAAATATCTGTTTGGAAAGGGTATTAAACTTCCATTAGATTTAATGCTTCATGTTCATAGATTAACACGCTCACAAAAAAACACAATCTGGGCTCACATGGAACAAGATAAAGCACAAAAGAAAATATACAACACTTCTAGTTCCACACAATACAAAAATGACGTTATAATAAAAAATAAAAAAAAATCTATGACTGTACACCCCTGACATCCTTTGCACAGCGAAACATGATCATCATGAGCCATAACATCTTCATCTTGCCGTCACCACATTCACTAAACATCTTTACAGTAAAAATGATTTAATGACATTTGTGTATACAGTGCAAGTGTTAAAAGAAAATATTTCATGATTTTTAAGCCTCCTATCCGATATCATATTCATATTCCTGGGCTGTAAAACAGGTACTAATAAATCATTAATGTCAACATGATCAAATCCTGATTTTTCTCCAAAATATATTATTTCAGGAAAGCATATATAACTATAAAAACAATCAGGAATGAGTACTTCTTTATGAAATACAGTGCATCTTTTTGTACTTGTTAATTCATAAGAATAAATGGTCTAAAATTGCGCAGCTCATACACTCCAATAAGGATAGGATGACTTAATTTGTGTAATCATACAAATGTATACTCTGTATGGCCAAAATATTTTTTGTTTGTTTTATAAAGGATATCGTAAGAATGTTGTCTACTTCGCTTGTAAAATTACGACTTATGAAAAATATAAAAATAATTCAGGCACAATATAAAACTGGTCCAACATGCCAGTTAGTAACTGACCGAAATGGAAATATTATGCTTTTTTTTTCTTTGGGTAAAAACATTTCTCATGTATAAAAAAATTGTTTGACAAAAGGGAAAAAAGCTTTTGAATACGTCAGCAAACTGCTGGTAAAAGCTTCAGTTCACTGAGTCAGTTCCATTAGAATTAAGTTTCTCACTCTCTGGTCTGGGTGTGCCGTCTGCTTGTTGGTTGTTTCCCTTTCGGCAAGGAATACCGTGATTTTTCACAAACAAACCAACGTCCATAAAGAAGGCCACCGTGGCCAGGAAGCCAAACGCCTGTAATACAGGAAAGACAGTTAAATGCCAGTTAGCCAGTCAGTAGCAGCTATGCTGTCATATCAGCTAAAACACAAATCGAGTGCCAACATACCACTGCGCCCTGCTCCAGATCAGTCTGACCATTGTCTGCCGCAAACACAATGCTGGCAAGGAGGAACAGGATTGCCATGCCTGTTGTGTAACCAAAATCCTATGGAAAAATTAAAAGTAGCTTAACTGTAAATTGGATAAAATTGTATCCTCTGGAATAGGTGATTCTGACTGGTCAGGAGCGGTCAAATATTTTTATATAAAACATAATATAGAAACTAAAATTTATTTGTGTTTACAGGCTTTTACATTTTATACACAATTATTAATATAATATATATATATATTTTTTATATTTAACATTTATACATTGTAAAAAATTTAATAATAATAGTGATGTTATATTATTATTAGCAGTGTTTTTTGACTTACCAGAGTAGGCCAGCAGTTAATTCCAATTCTCTGGTGCAACACTGTGGCCAGGAGGATGAGGAGCAACAGCGTGAAGAGGAAGGCTGAGCAACTGACAAATTCAAAAAAGTAGAGTGGACCACAGTGCAAACAGTTGGACACGACCTCCTCCATCACAAAAGCCACAAACGAGAGGAGCTGAGGGGACACAAATTAAATCCAAGTGCATTAATTAACCACTAGGTGGCAGGATCAGCTTATTTTTTTATTTCGATAACTCTATCCTGTATACAAGACAATATGAATGATTTGGGTGTTTCCTAAGTGACAAAATATTGTATTTAATGTGATGAATGCTGCTTAGTCAGAGCACATTCATCCTCAGTCACAATTCGAAACTGAGAGAAAAACAGGTGTGAAGTAAATACACCAGCAGCATCAGGTAGGGGGATTCCCGAAGGTGAGAATAAGCTATTTACCCAGGACACTGACTCGGGGAAAACACATACACACCCAAGCAAACTATGTTTAATTATTCATGTTTCCTTTAACATCACAAGCCTGATATTCATCATCCAGAACTCTATGTTTTAGTCACATGTGCACAATTATAAGGTCTTCCAGTCCAAGGGTGAAATTACACCAGTTACATCAATACCAGGAGACTTTCCACTCCATTTCCCTTTAGCGAACTGAAACTAGCAAAAAAAAAAAAAAACTGTAACTGATGCACTCGTGCTATTAAAGTTACTCAAATATACTTTATAGAGAAGTCCTTCAAAATAACTCCATTGTTTGTTGTGACGAATATTTCTATAACATTTCTGCTATTAAACTCTGGACTTGGTGATGAATTAGTTTCTTTTAAACCATTAATAAAACACATAACAATTATATTCATAATCACTATGACAAAGGGGAAGAGAGTATAGGAAATAATAATAATAATAATAAAACTAAAATCTTATTAATCGTATAACAAATAGTTGGTATTTGATATTCAACTGATAAAAAGAGAACAGATTCAGGGCAAAATGGGAAAATCTGTAGTAACTGGCAGTATGGAGGAAGAGGAAATCGTAACAGTGTTCTCATTTACACAAAATACAATTTCATGAGAAGCAATGTCAAAATGACAAACTAGCCCACTCGTCTGACTCATAACGTCTGTTTTGAGCTCTGACAGCCCTGACTGCTAGGAAGGAACAGGGCAGGTTCACATGCAATTGTTATTGTCGCTTAAGAAGCACAACCTTATCGCTACCACACAGAATCCATTCGAAATCCTCCATCCAAACAAGCCGGATAGAACACAGCTGCTACTCAACAGAATAAAGACACTGCCCGCTCACCACCCAAAAAGGGGCTTATTTTAGACATTTATGAGTGAAATGACCTAAAATGTAACAAAGCATGGTGAAGTAAAATGAAACCATACAGAAACGATTTCAGTCTAAAACCGAAACACAAAAAGCTTCACTCCTGGAAAACATGCATAAAAATGATTTTCAATTATTTTTAAGTGCTAAAATTGATCTGTACTTTGGAATAAACCGACCACAGTAAAATCAAAGGATTTATTCACAATACAGTACAGTCACTTGATTGCGGTCAACCGTCTCTGCTCTGCTGAATACATTGTGGGTAGATTGATTTCCTGAACAAAACCAGAGTAAAAAAAATCTGTCTTACAAACTCAAGAAACTGAAAACAGTTTTTTTTTTTTTAATACACAGAATATCAAGTGTTACCGATAGAACTGAGAAAAAAAAATTGCTGACTTTTTTTTATACTGAACCAAAGCAGCTGCAAACTCCCACTGGTAAATTACTAATACTGTACACTGCACTGGGTTTATATACCACAAAAAACAAACGCTACGGTTTGTGGGCAATAATTTGATAAAGTGGTTTGGAGGTAGATGAGGAAAGACACTCTTCTCACTGCAGGGCCTCTAAGAACTAACTTCAGCATGGCAATTGATCTAGATGAGGTTTCATCGGGGAAGTACCAAGGTGTTCCAGTGTTATTATGTCACTGGCTAAGTGCAAAAGGAAATTAAAAAAAGAGAATTTCAAGGGCATCCAGAAGAAATCAGTACATAAAAAAATCATAATCATTAAAAAAAATAAAAATATATATTTAAAAAATTATATATATATAAACATGAGACCAGGCCCTGGACTGTAGGGGCATTTACTCATAAAGAGTGTATTTGTCTCAATGTTGACCTCTATGTGGTAATTATTGGCTAAATTTAATGTGTTCTGAAGAGTACTTTCCTGTACTTAAAAGATTCTTGCTTTTAGTATGCAATTTCAATGTCATTTAAACTTTTGACTCGCCACAACATATTGTGAAAGATAAGAATTGGGTAATTGAATTTAGCATCTGCTCTCTAACTGCATTTACGGTTTAAAGGCAGACACAGACAGTCATTTCTTACACCTGATATCACTTAGTTTGTCACATGCAAGCAGACAATGCCCTTTGGTCTTTTCAGCCGTGACCTTGCAAATTCAAACACTTAAAATAAAGTGACAACCAATTAGTGACAACCTGAGAATTGATGCTAAAAGCTAAAGATCAAGATGAAAATATGTACGTACGGAGTCTGAAAATTTCAGACTTCACTGAGAATCAGGGACTCAAAATCTAATTTAGCCCAGAAAATTAACCAAAAGTATTTTGGATTTTATTTTAAAACAAAGAAACACTTTGAAAAAAATTGGATTCAGCACCATTTCTAGGTCACTCATCAAATCAAATGGTCAGATTTCCTTGCGTCCATTAAAGCACATTTCTCATATCTTAAGAAATGGAGCACAAACCTGTCGAGCCCATGCCAGTATTTGGGATTAAAAAGATATTTTAATGCTTATTGTGTGCTAAGTAACATAAACACTGCAGTGAATGAATGATGCTGAACCAAGACCTCGCCTCATAGGAGTTGACTGCATCTCTTTGCAAAGCACAAGTAATATCTACTAAATGGCCACTCGAACAGTAGATACGCCAACACTTATTCCCGAGTGAACAAGGATGCATGCATGCATGCTCTGCTTTGTCATCAATTATAGAAATCAGTTTGACACATATAGAAGATACCAAGGAAATGGAGGGAATTTCTAACTTGAACTCAAACACCAACAGCCTAGTACCAACAGTCCAAAAAGCCCCATGAGCACCAACCAAGCAGCATATGACTGCAAAGCTGAAATGGCCAAGCTTGTTTAGAAAATAAGCTTGTCATTATTAAATGGAGACAAAAAAGTTGCTACCCTCACTGGCACCCAAGGACTTGTTAAACATCATTTGCATTATCAGGATGTGTGAGACATGGCAGTGGATTGATTCATTCAGCAGAATCCTTCATAACAGAAACCACAGTATTCTAATGAACACTAAAACATCAGCAGTCATATTTTAGCCCCACCTTTTACATGTTAATGAACTGTCTGTCAGCATTATTGTTTACCATTATACACTTTTATGGAAACTCACTCACTTTTCCAATAATGCCAGCTTGACTTGATTTGTGCTGTATTTAAACCGGACTAACCACTTAGCTACAAGACCTCTTACTCAATCCATGTCCAAATGTACTTTGGTTTAAATGGTTTAGAAAAAAGTTGCTAAGCATTTTACATTACTACAAAGAAAAGTGCATATGCTAAATTAGAATAGCCTATTTTAAGGCTATTTTGTTCATTTATTTAGATGTCGAATAGATTATGATCACAGTAAGTTACATGTAAACATGCGGTCACATTTGTGTCCAGCGTGGAAACCCTGTTTTTTTTTTTTTTTAACTTTGCATAAATACACATCAATTACACTTGGCCCAAATCCAAGAACATGAACTCTAAATATCCAGACATATTACAAACTAGAGTTGATCCTGCGAGAAAGGCAGAAGATTTTAATGCATTTTGTGTCTCAGCATACACACACACACAGTCTGGTGCACTATCCTTGTAGGGACTCCCCATAGGCGTAATGGTTTTTATACTGTCTTACTGTTTGGAGTCAATAATAAATGCCAATGTACACAGAGACTCTCACACATTCTTATCTTATCAAACTGTACCATCAATACAAAGAAATTCAGCGTATCAACAGTAATAATGCACACACCCTTCAAAATAATTAATCTATTTTAAGCAATTATTATGCAAATTATTAACTTTTTTCAATTTTTTTATTTCTCTATTGTACTTTTACATCTCTTATTGTATTATTTGTTATACATACTTTGTCACTGTAAAAGTTTTAAAAAGCTAAATCTACCTGATTATATACTGAGCGTTTTGTTATTCTGCGTGCTGGAGAAGTTTGTCCACTGTGGTTCATGTGTTAAGATGATCACACACTGCTGTTTGCCAGTTAGTACGCAGGGCAGACTTTGGTAGAAAAGAAGAAAGAATTAGTATAAGTGGGTGATTCTGTTAACTGAACAAGTTTACAAATGAATCCTGCCAATTTCTTTCACTAAAGAGACAGTGATTCCAGTTAGACAAATGTTACCAGCTCTTTAATCTTGGAATAATAAAAATTCAGCTGAACTGGGAGTTGAACAATTACTGTATTTTTGACCACAATGAAATATGAAGGCATCTTGGACCTGCAGTGCCACCACCAGAGGTCAGTCATTATATGCCACATTTATAATCATAGTTTCACAGACTTACTCAAGTTTTAAGTTGCTTCAAGTTTTGTGGCATTTAAAAATTATTTGAAAATTTGATTTGAATCCTTAAAGCAGCTGAAAAACGGAACATTTTAAAACTCTCTAAATTACTGCAGTATGTATTGATTAGTCCCCCTTAAATTTAGTTTATACATAGTTTGTTTTTAGATATTTCTGTATTTATTATTTGCAAGTAATTGTTTTGTTTGTATATATAATCTTTCAATATATGCTGCTTGGACTCATTGTGGACTTGTTCAACAATTATAATGCCTGTTTGTGTTTTGAAGAGATTTAATAAAGGCTTATTTAAAAAAATAAATAAGTGTCACAGAAGCAGTGTTATTTTAGTATAATTTATATTTATACTTTATATTTTAAATGAGATTTTATTTCACTTTCATATTTAAATTCCATTGTAGTTAAAGCTTTAGTTATTTTATTTAGAGTGTTTTAGACATTTTTATTATTATTATGCACAGTTTTTATTCGTTTTTATACATATTCGTTTTAGTTAGATTTAGTTATTTTATAGCCTACATAAAGTTAAACTAAATGAAAATGAGAAATGATGTCCTGGCAACTACAGCTAAAATAAAATAAGTTTAAGGTTTTTTTTTATTATGATTATTATGTACCTCTGAGTTATTATGTAACTCTGCACTGAAGACTGCAGCAGACCACAAGAGTGCAGACTATACGTTCATTCTAACAAACACGCACGCCAGAATCCACAAAGTGCTGTAGAAGTTCTTGTATTTAATTCAATGACATGGTGCAGCATATGCAGGTTATGTTCTGGAGGTATAACATCAAGTTTAATGTGTGTGATTATTATGTACATCAATTTTACTTAAAGTGACGTTTTTATGGTTTTAGTTTTAGTTTTAATCAATGATAATAACTCTGCACTGAAGACTGCAGCAGACCACAAGAGTGCAGACTATACGTTCATTCTAACAAACACGCACGCCAGAATCCACAAAGTGCTGTAGAAGTTCTTGTATTTAATTCAATGACATGGTGCAGCATATGCAGGTTATGTTCTGGAGGTATAACATCAAGTTTAATGTGTGTTAGATCATGCCTCCACGCCAGAAATATCAGATCCAGCCCGAACGCCAGATCCTGTCGACTCAAGTTTTAAGTTGCTTCAAGTTTTGTGGCATTTAAAAATTATTTGAAAATTTGATTTGAATCCTTAAAGCAGCTGAAAAACGGAACATTTTAAAACTCTCTAAATTACTGCAGTATGTATTGATTAGTCCCCCTTAAATTTAGTTTATACATAGTTTGTTTTTAGATATTTCTGTATTTATTATTTGCAAGTAATTGTTTTGTTTGTATATATAATCTTTCAATATATGCTGCTTGGACTCATTGTGAACTTGTTCAACAATTATAATGCCTGTTTGTGTTTTGAAGAGATTTAATAAAGGCTTATTTAAAAAAATAAATAAGTGTCACAGAAGCAGTGTTATTTTAGTATAATTTATATTTATACTTTATATTTTAAATGAGATTTTATTTCACTTTCATATTTAAATTCCATTGTAGTTAAAGCTTTAGTTATTTTATTTAGAGTGTTTTAGACATTTTTATTATTATTATGCACAGTTTTTATTCGTTTTTATACATATTCGTTTTAGTTAGATTTAGTTATTTTATAGCCTACATAAAGTTAAACTAAATGAAAATGAGAAATGATGTCCTGGCAACTACAGCTAAAATAAAATAATTTATTTTATTTTAAATTATTTATTTATTAAATAATTTATTTTTATTAATAAAATAATAAGTTTTTTTTTATTATGATTATTATGTACCTCTGAGTTATTATGTAACTCTGCACTGAAGACTGCAGCAGACCACAAGAGTGCAGACTATACGTTCATTCTAACAAACACGCACGCCAGAATCCACAAAGTGCTGTAGAAGTTCTTGTATTTAATTCAATGACATGGTGCAGCATATGCAGGTTATGTTCTGGAGGTATAACATCAAGTTTAATGTGTGTTAGATCATGCCTCCACGCCAGAAATATCAGATCCAGCCCAGGATGCCAGATCCTGTCAGAAAATATCCGTTTTTTTGTCTGGTAACAGAACAACTAGTCAGCAAATTTGTCTAATACCCAAATCCTGTTAACAGGAAATCATGTCTGGCACCCAAAAATCAACAAGTGTTATTATATCGCAAACCACAGCAATGGAAAATCACTGCTTCACAACAACATGTGATGTTAAAAGCCTTGAAATGAAGACATTCTCCTATCTCTTACTCATAAAGACAATCATCCCTTGAAATCACACATCATAAGACTAAACAACAATGGAAAAATAATATAAAAAAACAACAATAAATGACTAATCAACGTGATGAGTATATAAATGGCTTTAATGATTATTATAAATTATTATATGATATAATGGAATACTAAAATGACAAATTATTATGAATGAATGAATGAATGAATGAAAAAGAAAAAAGTAAAACACAACACAAATGTATGGTTGCTCTCTTAAACAAAACACACAGTTTGTTTTTCACCATTGCACTTCCGAAAAGTATGACCAACAACTGTGAGAAATGTAGTACATTTCTTCCTCTATTGCATCCCAGTCAGCTCTTTTTCCTGTTTGTTTGGGCATTTCAGTGTTGTGCTTGTGAACATAATCAGTTACTAAAGTGCCATTTACTTCAGCAGTACTCTAAACAGAGCCTTAAGGAGGGGTTCTGATGTGCATGAGTCATGTTTCCAAATTAGCTGGAATACTAGGATGGAATCTCTTTAGTATGGCAGCTCGCTCCATTTCACTCGTTCCCTCCATAAATAATGGCTTCATTTATACCCAAGGAATTTAATTCTCTTCCACACTGCAGTAGAGTTAAAACAACCCATAAGTGATCTAGCATATGTCACTGTATTTCCTTCTTTCTCTTTTGGAAGCACCTCCCCTGATAGAGGTCAGGGGTTTCCTGTAACCATAAGTAGTGAGCATGGTGAGTCACTCTGTGTTAAGTAGTTCTGCAAGATATCTTAAACATTTAAATATGAATGGGTAGCATGATTAATAAACTTCATTTTACTTTGATCATTTTGCTACATTAAAGTCAATCTGACTAAACCGTAGTATAATACACAAAAACTTGTCGAGGTCATATTTCATCCTAAAACCAAAAGTGAGCAGAAACACAATGAACAAGACTTGGCTTGGCAAAAAACATGAACAAACTAACCAAACAGTGGATTACACGAACAAAGCTAGGCAATGGACAATGGGAACATGAGGGCTATATAAATCAAACAATGGTGGTCACATGACACAATCCAACCAATGAGAACAAGACACATGAACTAGACAACCAATCAGAACATGACACATAGAACAAAGGAACCAATAGCAGGATCACATGAGGGCAAGGGAAACACATGACATGACAGAAATCATGACTATGAAAGAAACAAAACTAAATTAAAGATATGAAAACAATGAACATGAAACAAAAACCAAAGCCCACGTCACATATTCCCCCCTCTAAGGGTGGCAGTGGTGGACCTGGACTAGGGCTGAACGATTAATTGCATTTGCGATAATATCGCGATATGAAAAATTTCGATTTTTCAATCGCAGAGGCTGCGATTACACGGTCACGTGACAGGCGACGCAATCGCAATATTGGTAAAAAAAAATCGCAATTAGATTATTTTCCAAAATCGTTCAGCCCTAGCCTGGACTGTGGAGCAATAACAAGCCTGGTCTATGGAGCAGTGGAGGACCTGGACCGTGGAGCAATGGCAGGCCTGGAAGCCAGAGCAGAGCCGAAGACCACCAGGGCAGGCGGCAAGCAGATGACCACCACGGAGGAGCCGGTGGAGCAGGCGACCAGAGCGGAGCACGTGACCAAGGTGAAGCCTGCACACACAAGATGGCAACCGCCATCATGGGCAGTACAGCTGACAGAGGGAGGACCTCCGGTTTGGACAGCGCTGAGCGACTTACTCATTTGTAAGTCGCTTTGGATAAAAGCATCTGCTAAATGATTAAATGTAAATGTAAATGTGACGAGGCTCTGGCGTGGCGGCCATGATGTCGATGACATTTCGGTTCCCATTGACTTCCATTGTATGGTCAAAAAATACAATGGAAGTCAATGGAAACTAAAGCTGTTTGGTTACCAACATTCTTCAAAGTATCCTCTTTTGGGTTCCACAGAAGAAAGCATGTCATACAGGTTTGGAATGTTTGGAAAATTTGGAAAGAGTAAAAGTCTTGTTCTGATTCAAATTCTGATTTTGAATCAATGAAGACGCAACACAATATACACAACATAAGGAGACTTTTTCTTTTTATCACAGTGTATATAAAACAAAGGGACTTACATTTAGAAAGCCAAAAATACATTCTTCAAACTTTACAGTTGCATATCATAATATCATATGTAGAGATACTGGGAAAAGCAAAAATTCACTTCAACTCCTGTAATAATAATACTGTGGGTCAGCATCAGTTCTTCTTGAACATCTCATTTTTAAACCAAAATATTCTTTGATCACAGGCACTGAATCAAATCCGCATCACGCAATATACTGTCAAATAAATAATGTAAAAATTATCTTGAATAAATGGCCATTTTTAGTTTCAGACACTGTTGACAAATATACCAAAACTCCACTCTTATAATAAACCAGTCTTACTCCTGAAAAATTCTGAGTTTGATCCCAGCCGATTAAGTTGACTGAGGCACTCAAGTTTTGATGAAGAAATCCACTCTTGAAGCATATACAGCACCTTCAAAAACAACCAAAAATGTTCCTTTAATGTCTTTAAAGAACTCATCATCTCTCCAGAACAAACTGAGAATTTTTCTTGCTACTTCCAGCTGATAAGACAAGTTTCTTCCATCCAGTTACACTGCAGCACCTTCAAGAGAGAATTAGCAGAAGATTATGCAATGAAATTCAACAGGTCCTTTCTGTTAAAGGAATAGTTCACCCTTGTTCATATTTGCTAAAATTTTACTCACTCTCAGGCCATCAAAGACGTAGCTGAGTTAGTTTCTTCATAAGAACAGATTTGGAGAAATTTAGTATTAGATCACTTGCTCACCAGTGGACCCTCTGCAGTGAATGGGTGCCGTCAGAATGAAAGTTAAAACGACTCCAGTCCAGACTCCATGTCTTGTGAAGTGAAAAACTGGGTATTTATAATAAACAAATTCATCTTCAAGACACTTTTAACTTCAAATCGTTGCTTCCAGCTAAAATACAAGTTCATAATCCATAATACTGATTTCTGATGTTAATGGTTGGACTGGAATTATGTGGATTACTTGTGGATTACTGTGATGTTTTTATCAGCTGTTTGTACTCTCATTCTGACGGCACCCATTCACTGCAGAGGATCCATTGGTGGTGATGATGTAATGTGATGTAATACATTTTTTCAAATCTGTTCCAATAAACAAATACTTATCTACATCTTGGGTGGCCTGAGGGTGAATTTTCAGCAAATTAAAAATTGTAATTTTTATTCCTTTAAAATGTGTTCACTGCTTTCATATTTTACAAATTACATGGTTAAAACGGGGTCAGACTCACCAGTTGGTTGAGAGCCACATGTGACCTTATAAGAAGTCCATATGCTGATCGCAATAAGAAAAGTAGCTATAAAGCCAAACACCTGCATTTATGTAAAAACAGGCATTAGTAACATATTAACAACATTCTATATTCATAAAGTTTATTACTAAACATGAAATGTCATTTGCTTTTGATGCCTAAAAGACCTTTTATAAGAATTGTACATGCACTGCCCAATAACAGAATGTAATGCAACAGTAACGGTTCACATTTCTTGCTTTCTCATCCCTACACAAGAAAGCTTTGTGCATTTCCCTGGCCAGTCAGCAGCATGCACTGCACATATTGCAAGCATAAAAAGGCACTCACAGATCCAGCGATCAAAGCTGAGACCCCATAACTCTTCACAGCTACAACTATTGAGGCGATAAAGACCAGGATTCCTCCCACAGCATAATGTAAAAACTCCTGTGAAAGCAATAAAGAGCCAATTTGAGATGAAAAAGCAGCATAAACTTTCTGAAAGATTACAAAAGACACTTAATGCCATGATCTTTGGTGAGAAGATGCGTAAGTGAAATGTGAACTGTGACCACTTACCGTCAATGTCCAGTTGATGCATGTGATTTTGCTTTGAAGTCGAAACAAATGCATGAGGAAGAAGATTGAGAAGACGATGAGAAACCATGCAGTGACCACCTCAAAGTAGTGGAAGGCAGAGTATTCAATCCGCCGATGCTCATAGTGCACACAAAGTAAAGCGATCAGGAGGATCACCTGCAAAATTAGAGGTAGTAATTTTCATTTAAAAATCCCTTGTGCACTTCACAGCAAATACTAATATTTTAGTTTGACACATAGAACAAAGTAGTGATGCTTTTGCTCAGTAAAACCTTGGATTAACTTAAATAAGATTTCAACAAGATAATTCAACTCGATAAATAAAACAAGTAGAAACGAGTTTCTGTAAATTTTTTGAGTAATATTAGAAGTTGTGACATGTTTATGATTCTGATATTTTAAGTGTCTGATTTTTAATAACTTTTTATTTAATATTTAAAAAATTTAATTAAAAACATATTTAAGAATTAAGAATGTTAAAATGTAAAAAATATTTTAAAATAAATTATTAAAAATGCAATTATTGTCCTATTTCTGCTTCTTAGTGTAATATAAACATTAGAAATCAACACAAAATATATGCATGATTAATATTTTCAAAATAATCAAGTCAAACCAATAACATTGCTCTAGTATTACTATTTTAAGTTTTGCAATCATATTTGTTTAGGGCTAGCATTTCCCACTTCAATATGAATTGCTGTTGCATAAGTGTTAAATAATTTATGCAAATACTAAGTTTCTTTTCCTGTGAACACTGGTGTTTCCTATTGAACCTGTTTCCTGTTGAATTCTGTTGTCAAACCACTTATCATCTATCTTATCTTCTATCTTTTTCTGGTGAATTTATAATCTTTGGGTTTGGTGGGTTTTGTGGTGAACCCCCTTTTTTTACACAGAGGCCCCACATGTTGCAGTGCAAATCTCTCTAAATCTCTCTCATCACTGCAACCATTTTAGTAGCCGGCTGTTCCTGAGCAGCCGGGGTGTGTGAGTCTTAACAAATTATCATTGCCTGTCATCACCTTCTACACACACCCTAAACCACACTCTGAACCCCAAAACACTACTGTTATTGAAGTAGTTAATAAAGACAGTATTTAATTTCTTTATTTTGAGGATTTGTTTGTTTTGGCCTATATTACTGTTTAAGATTAAAATATGATGTGTTTCCCACTTCAGAATCAACAGCTGTTTAACAAAAGGTTGAGTAATTTATGCAAACACACAAAAAAGTGTCTTTTTCCTGTGAACTCTGTTGTTTCCTGTTGAACTGATGAAGTAGATAAGCCTAATTGTGATTATACACCATGATAGCTACTGAATGATTATCATATTCATTTACCATGGTATTTAATCCAGCATTCTTTTGGGATTGGGATTTGGGATAGTTTTTTTTAGTGTACATTTAAATTAAAACTTTTAGTTAGCAGAAGTTTTCAGATTTATCTTCTAAAGAATAACATGGTAGGCTACTGCCCAAAAACATTATAACATAGGCCTAATGCATGTAAAAACAAACAAGCAAACAAAAAACGTGGTAATATCATGTTACAGTAACGTTTACGTTTCAGCATTTTTCAGCACTGAAAATCATGTGTAACTTCTCGAAGACTTTTGTCCAACGTTTCCCCAAAAGAAATATTAGACTTGCTGCTGTAAATAAATGCACTGACTACTGTATCCTGCAGTGTTAGTGCATAATAAATGTAACGTTAGCCTATTCATGGAAAGTTTAGTGAAGAGTTCCGTTACTCGGTCAATGTAGCGTCGTGGTTTAAAACAGTCAGTTACCATCTTTAAACCATTGATCTTCCCTACATTAAGGATTCTATACTTTCGTCTACGTTTACTTCATAAAATAAATTTGATATAAGTATAACTTTCTCTTACCACTTGGCCGATTTTCAGTAATCCTTGAAATGAACGCGCATAACCGGTGTTGCAAAATCCTCCATCCGAGGTGGATGTTGTTGTTGTGGTTGTAGTAGTAACAACAGTGTGAGGCATTCTGGTATATAATATTTGAGGAACTTTACAATTAAGATAATATTTATTTAAAACCGCTCACATTGAACCAGCAGTTGAGTCAGGAGAAGCGTCAACTACAACAGGGTGTGACTTTCCACGGGATATAAAACAAGGGCGTGTGGAGGCTCAAAATCCCCAAATAGGCTCCATTCAAAGCATTGAAAACATTTATACACGAAAATAAATGTAAACATATTTGCTATAATTACATATATCTGAAATACGAAGCAAAATACACCATACACATCTCAAATACAATGACTTTTAAAAATTACCATACAGTAATCAAAAACGAATGTGATTGGTCCATCTGAATCAGCGCCTAGAAAAGAAACAGATATCACGTGATAACAAGTGTTAACGGGATAGTTCACCCAAAAATGAAAATTTGATGTTTATCTGCTTACCCCCAGGGCATCCAAGATGTAGGTGACTTTGTTTCTTCAGTAGAACACAAACGAAGATTTTTAACTCAAACCGTTGCAGTCTGTCAGTCATATAATGTAAGTGAATTGGAATCACGGCTTTGAGAGTCAAAAAAACACACAAACAAAACCAAATTAAACCCTGCGGCTCGTGACGGGACATTGATGTGTAAAGACACGAAACGATCGGTCTGCGCAAGAAACTGAACAGTATTTATATCGTTTTTTACCTCTGATGCACTGCAATATCTGAATATCTTTTTTCTTTGCATACTGAATCATAAATCCAGAACGTCTGCAATGGATGCACGCTGCTTTAGTAAAAGTCTGGGAAAGTCTTGGAAGAAAATTCTAAACAGAGTTCGAATAGATTAACTCAATAGAACTGATAAATTTGCTTTGAACTTTTTTAAGCTTTGTAAACTTCTTTCCCTAGCTATAGCCAAAGATGACGACGGCTGGTTGATGAAAGCGCCCACTGAGGTCCGGGCGATGGAACCACTTCCGTAACGGCTATAAGCTTAATTGTTAACTGAAAAATTAAGGTTTGTCAAGACAAATTTTAAATGAAGGCTTGATAAAGCTTTGTGTGAATTACATTTAAAAAGTCCTGAACATTTTAAAGACCTTATAGACAAATATGTTTGAAATGTCACCTATAAATTTTGAAGTTAATTAATATATTCATCTTTCAGGAAAAGCACTGTAGTTTCTCTGAATGGCTGTCGAATTTCTCTGAATAGAGCACTGCAGAGATGGCATATTTTTGTAGGCCAACCCAGAAATTTCCATCACCCTATTTCCTCTGACAAAAACCCAACAGGATTTTTCCACTGGCTTTTTGATTATTACAGAAAATAAGCTTTGTGTAAAACAAAAGTTTATGATTCTTACACGTTTTGTTCAAGATAATCTTCACAAATGAGCACAACATTCATTAATTTTGAAGCCTAAACAAAATCAGTAGAAGTAAAAAGGTATAAACAAACCACACCATGGTCACATGACTTAAAGGTCATCACCAAGTTTTCAAAAACTCTTTCAATCATCATTTAAAATCTAGTTAGAATAGTTTGAAAGAGCATGAGCATCACAATGAGGATGTGAAAGTGGACTAGTGAGTATTTGAGTTTCCGTTCGGCATTTAAAGGGGTCCTATTATGCTCTTTTTCAAAGTCTTGATTTTGTTTTGGGCGTGTACTAGAACATGCTCTCATACTAGTTTGTTCGAAAAACACATTCTTTTTCACATATTTTACATTATTACAACACCTCTCTCCCCAGTCTGGCATGAACGGCTCGAATAGTTCCTGTATCAAATGAAGGCCCGCCTTCTGAAATACGAAATGTGCTGTGATTGGTTAGCTGGGCCAGTGTGTGTTGTGATTGGCAGCACTCGGCGCCTGGTCGGGAAATGTCATGCCCCCTACCATAGCCGCCCTGCGAGTAACCACTCTAAATTCGTCTGCCTTGGGAAAGCCAGCATGTCTCCGACTTAGTGATAACACTCGTTGCCTTCTCTAGTGCAGCTCAACCAGGTCTCGTCCCATTCGTCGATATTTGTGATATCACAAATCCCGGAAAATATGCGTTGTAGTCCAAACGAGTCGTTCGTTGTAGTTTTTGAAAAGTGATTTCTGTTAAATAAAATATCTCCTTTTGAAGTGGACTTTGAACTTTGTAACTTTGCAGATCTTTTTTTATGCTCAAACAGCAACATTACAGACTAACTAAAGTTGAAAAAGTGAAAAAGCATAATAGGACCCCTTTAATTTAAACAATCTCTGTAGACCCATTTAACCTCTTTTCAACTGCCTTTTTCAAGACCTGTAAAGCTTGAAATACCACCAAAAAAATAATAAAAATTGACCAAAAGTGCAAAAATTTCAGGAGTTTAACTTATTCCTGCAGAGCTCTGTTATAATTCAGTAAATTTCACTTCCTGTCATTTTCCAATCATACCAATTCAAATTCCAATGGGGTTTGGCCTATACAATTCAAATTCCAAATTTCTAATAGAGAGCCAACTCTTATATTCTGACAGGCTAGTTTTTATGTTGCTCATTAGCTGCACCACGAATCCTAAGTTTGTCAGCTGAGGGGACTGAAGCATCTGGCTTCAAAGCCGTGTGTCATGTTCAGGGTTCCCCTCTTCCTGACGTTCAATGGATAGAACCAGATGGTGTTCAGAAGGGAGATACTTCATTCCCTCTTTCTCAGGACACTACCGGGCAATACCGTGCTTCAAGCCAACTGCTGGACTTGAAACCTGGACGACAGTACATCTGTGCGGCTTCAAACTCTTTGGGGAAGGATCAAGCCACGCTCTAACTTTTGCCCCCCAGTTCAGAGAGGTCAACCGCAAAAAGCTCTTTGTCGCTCCTTGTGCTGCATCTTACTCTGGCGTGGAGTACCAAGCTGCTTTTGGCTCTGGGTTTGGGAGCTTGGGTGATCAAGAGGAGGTTTAGTGTCAGAGCTAGCAGCGTGGAGCACTGAAAAGACACAAATGTCATGCTCACATAATCAGAACACTCTGGTCTCAAAGCTGTTTCTTGTCCCATGTGTGTTGTTAAAAATACAAAGGATTAAAATAAACTTCTTCTGAAGTGAGCCATAAGACTCTGACTTCCGTCTTTGTCTGACCTGACTGGACAATTTAACACAGAGTGACTTATATACCAACTAATATAATAACTAACTGAAAAATATAAATCTTTATCTTTGTGCATTCATCTGTCAAATAAGTTTTGCAAATGAAGTAAAAAAAATCAGTGGGTTGGAAAATATAAAGAATTTAAAAAAAAAATCTGCCTTTAACTGGGATCTACTGCACTGATTCATAAGGACTGATTTCTTATTTATTTCCACCAGTACTTACAAAACATCATAACCATTTCGGTCTTCTCAACTGACAGTTTCAAGTCAACATTGTTGATATTTTTCTAGAAAATAAAAGAAAAGCAGTAGCAAACATTGCTTTTTTTTTTCTTAAATAACATGCACCAATGAATCATTCAAGAAAAAGACCAGTTGTGAGGATTTAAATCTTAAATTTAGATTTTGTGATAATTTTGAAGTCAGTTTGAACTTGTTTGCAACTTGACTCTTGCAGTACCATTTTATAACTTTAAAGATTTTTAAAATAAAGGGCTAAAAAGTAATATAAAATAAAGCTTACGACATTATTTAAAAAAGTCAACAGGACTCATTGTTGTTCTATTAACATTCTTTAATAATCTATTTTAACATTCTTTGATAATAATCATTGTTTAAATCTTAGCCTGGATACACCTCAAAATGCATCTCCACTTACTAATTTTTAATAGTCTTATTTAAACTAAAAAGTTTGCAGTACAATTTTTTCTTTCACTGCTAATTACATTGCTAGATCAATTTCATTGCCCACCAGATAACATTTTCTAAATCTAGTCTAATATAGGGGCCTAACTATGTATAGACAGATAAATGTTAATTATGAAAGTAAAACCAATCTATATTGATCCCTAAACACAGTTCTGAAAGCAAAAAATTAAACATTGACATTTTGGAGATCCCTTTACAAGTATTGTAATTAAGACATCTGCTTATTACAAAGTATCTCAAAAGGTGAGGTATTTTGGTTCGATATAGCAAATAGGTTTCTTTTTAGAACAGCAGCGAGCACTCTTCCACTTGAAGTTCTTGTTGGGATCCAGGGAAACTGTGGCACACAAGCCTTTCTCCGGCCTTTCAGGCTGTCCGTTCTCCCAGTAAGTGAAGTCCACATTGGATGAGAAATTGTCCTCGTTTTGCCAATACCACTCTGTTGAGTACAGGCTGCGGCGCAGACTGATCCAGCCCTCCGTGGGGTCTATGACTGCCATGTTTGAGGCCATCTTATCCTGGCTGCTTCTATTGTTGAGCCTGGCAAACAGATCAGCATTTTCCGTGCAGTACTCATGGGACATGGACCAGCTCATTTCATCTTCACCAAGTACAAACATCTCCGGAGTCACCAGACAGCCATAACGATCTAAACACACACAAACAAATATTCAGTTAGTATTATACATGATTGTTTAAAAAAAGACAAAAAAAAAAACACATTTATTATTTATAAATGTTATTTATAATCATACTGCTACCAATTAACCTGACTAAGCGGTCAATTATTATACTGTCAGCCACTAGAAAGGGGGTAGCAAGTTATATAGTTACTATAATCTTTATATATATTATAAATAAAGAGTATATTATAAACAAAGAAATATATATATATCATATATGTATATTATTATTACGATATAGTAAATATTTAGTAAATATTTGAAGAATATAATCATCTTCTACACTGAAAAAAATGTGGAAACCATTTTCAAGTTGCTAGTAAACTGCACAATTAATTACAAAGAAACTGCAATAAACTGAAATAAACATAACATTTTAAAGCAGAAGAACTGAAATAGTATTATTTATTTTGGTGTGATTAATTATATATATGGCTTATAAAATCGATTAATCACAATTAATCACACCAAAATAAAAGTTTGTGTTTAACTCAAAAGCTAGAAGCAAAGCAACAGCAAAACAATCTCATTTTAAAAAATGTTTTAAAAAGGTATATATATAAATGTATATAATCATATTTTATATATAAAGTTATATAATTACTATAATCTTTATATATATTACAAATAAAGA